TGAAATCACAAACCCAAAAGCCGAACGGTATTTGCAAAGCTCTTTGTTAAGGGAACGGCGTGTAATCAAGGAAAACAAAAAATGCGTCAGGCAGGTTCACTCTGTATTTCTGCTGTATCGTGATTTGAGAGAATTTGCATACGAGATCGGTAAATTAAATAAGGATACTGGCAATGTAGCGTTCAATCTGGCAACACTGGAGGCGCCGAGCTTACCTTGGAAAAGTATCTGCCTTCGTTGTGCTGTGCCGAGTGCCGAGTAAAATTTTACGAATATAACATAGTAAATGAAATTAATAAATAACCAGTCCAATTTTATGAACGAGGAGGTAAGGTGCTCAAATTTTTTAAAGTTATGTATGACTATTATATCTAATAGATGCCTAACACCACCGTGATCGCAAGTATCTTAATAATAAAAACGGTGGATTTTTTCCATATTTTTTTAGCTCCTTCTTTCCAAATTGACACAGTCAAGAAACAACATGTACAATTATCAATAGCCTGAAGTTCCTCAACAAAGTAATACACTGATATCATTTAACGGCACGCATTTTATCTTTTGTGTTCATTTCAAAGTACAAATCTAGGTCAGCAAAATTTGGAGATTAACAAAATTTTCCACCTATTCCATGAACACTTTTCACATGTCATAATAAAAATAGCCCAAGAAATGGCCGAACACTGAAATTTATTGAAATAGTTTAACAAACAATAGATGATTACAAGTTTATGACTAGTATGCACTTCTAAACATGCTTAAATGAATAAAATAGAAAAATAGCACTTAAAGATTTATCTACAATAAACGTATTATTGGTTATAGTGTATATGAGAGCTCTGACACAAGTGTTTTGAACAAACTGGGATTTCAAACAAAATAGGATATTTTCGTTAATATGGAACAAGATAAGCTGTGAGAAAAGGATATACCATTTTTTTATTTGAAAGACCCATGCAAGGTAATTTGTACGAAACATGACATCGGTGAAGTATCCGCCGTGGCAAGGGTTTGAGTGCTCTGATTTTCAGTGATTTTGTAGCACATACGAGGATAGGATAACACTTGTCATCTGGACGTGAGTATCGTTCAACAATCATCCAAATTACTCAATTCATTACACAGAGATACGCAAGACACGTTAATGAGTGAATAATTTTTTGAGAGATGATAAAACAAGATGACTAAATTGTATAACTTCAATGACAGCACTTCACTGAGGTACGTGCTTTTGATAAGGAATTACGTATAGAAAATCGTCAACATTTATCAGTCATACACTTTGCGGGCAAAGTGATGGAATGATAGAAAACCTTTCATGAGATCGAATGGAGTCAAGTCTCACTGCTAGGTGGACGCGTGAATTGTGAAGTGGTCTGATACATGGTTTCCTTTAAGCTTGTATTACCGCAAAAATTGGACACATATCACGCAAAGCTTTCAAAATGCCATGAAAGTTGAGCAAGAAGTTGCTGTAATATGATTTATTTAATAAGCTGAGTTAGATTACGATTTCTTTTTGTTATTAAAGTCTTATTAAGTAACTTATGCGTGTTCTACCCATGACACGGCAGAGCTTTGGACAGATTAATAAACTTTATTACCTTATTATTTCATATATGGCTATGCTATGGTTTTACCTTAATCCGTTTCTGTAGTATTTCCATAGCGAAAGCACAGTATGAAAAGGCATTCAAGTAATGTTCCAAACTTCTCCAGGATAGAAATGTTACGCTGATATACAGGGTGTAAACGTTATGGTAGTCATTACTGAAATGGGTAATAGGGGAGGGGGGGGGGTCAAAACAAGTCAAAAAGTTCATATGACCTATGGTCAATAGATTTTTGTCTAAATGGCTTTATAGTTTATAACTATAAGTGCTTTATATCGACCACAATCTTACTAATTTTTATAACCTAATCTAAAAGGTTTGTAGTCAGTAAGTAAGTTTCATTAAATCACATATTTAAAACACACATGACAACAGCGCGTCGGTCATTCATCACTCTCGAATCGGCAATCGATCGCAAACGGTAACAGTGGTTAGTTATTGTTCGCGTACGTCGTCGTGTTTATTTACAATGTTCTCGAATCAAGAGTTCGCCGACATGTTGTTAGTTTACGATGAAGCTCGTCAGAATTCAAATCTTGCAGCTCAAATTTATCGCGGCAGATTTCGCCAACGGGTACACCCAGACAGAAGGACATTTGTGCAAGAGTACCAAAGACTTCGAGATACAGGAAGTGTTCAGCCCACTAATATTCGCACTCGTGAAAGACAGGTTACTGTAGAGCAGGAGGAATAAATGTTAAATATCGTGGAAATCAATGCAGATATCAGCACTCGGGAATTAGGCCGCCGCGTAGGACACATACCATAGTCTATAGAATCCTACGGGAAAATTTGCTCTATCCCTACCATGTACAACGAGTGCAGGCCTTGGTACCAGAAGACTATCCTCGCAGACTAACATTTAGTCAGTGGTTTTTGCACAAAATCCGGATTTTTTTAAAAACATTCTAGCGACGGACGGATGTACTTTTACGCGAGACGGGATATTAAATTTCCATAATGGGCCCAAGAAAATCCTCATACCATTCGTGAAGGTCATTTCCCACAACGTTTTAAAATATATATTTGGGCGGGTATTCTTGACGATCAGGTAATAATTGGCCCTTTCGAGTTACCCCCAAAGTTGTCAAGAGAAGATACCTTAGCTTTCTAGCCATTAACCTACCAGAACTTTTGGAACAGATCTTAGACAACATGCCATTACAACGGAGACAGAATTTGTGGTTTCTTCATGACGGGGCACCACCACACATTTTTAGAGGAGTCATTCAGTATTTGAATGAACATTATCCAAATCGCTGGATCGGTCGAAATGCTCCTGATCCTCGAAAATGGCCATCAAGATCTCCTGAGCTCAATCCGACGGATTTCCGGTATTGGGGATAACTTAAAGGGATGGTTTATGAGAGGAAATCAACAACTTGCTTACAAAGCGTCTTTGGAAGACCATAAGAAGCAAGTCTGCAAATAAGTGCAGCATGTCACAGCGAAGGGTGGCCAATATATAACTGACTGATTTAAATTGCGCGACATTTTTGATACACGCATTTCAGTAGATGGCGCCGTAGTAGTAACATGTGTCCAGTTGATCATGAACCGCTACACGATCCCACAACGCGTCCGTATTGTTAAAACGTTTAACTTAAATAATGAGTCGATTTTATTTCATTTCACAAATATTCAAGATACAAACCAGTCAGTTACATGATGCAGAATTGATGGAGCGATGGTAGTGATGTTTTACTTCTCACGCCTACTGGTGAGGAAGCATAGTAACAGCGAAAAATTCCGTGATATGTTTTTTGGATGTTAGATGACATAAATCACGAAAAACCATATCAACTTCCGTCGGTGTGTCTGTCTGTCGGTCTGCCTGTCCCCTAATCCTTTAGCCGTCTATAAACTTTGAATATTATCGTATTTTAAACGTTTATAATGTCAAAATCGATTTTTCGAGAATACTTACTGTGTTTATGTTCCCTACCGGCGCGATTGAAGGTTTTCCGGAGATTCAATGAAGGTGAGGTGTGATACAAAAAAGTGCAAACAAACGAACTAAGAATCGATTAAGCAGCCTCGTCGAATTAATTTCGCATATAAAAACAAAAATGGTTTTCACTGTAAGCGGAAACGATAGATACAAACGTGACGTGAAATAATAGAAAAACGTTCGTTTAGTTTATGGTTGAAGTTAAAAATAAGACGAAGGGAAGAATTCTATTTACGGATGTTTTTTCTTGGAATGTTAAGCACTATCTGAGTTTATTATACCGTGTGTACAGCTAAATGTGTCTATTAATGCTGCGATTTTGGAATGTTGAGAACTTTCATGGAAATCCATTTCTTTTTCGAAGAAATCGTAACAAGTTTTATTCAAATTCGTTGAAATTCGGCAGGCACAGATGTATCGATCAAAATTTACAAAAATTGTCGAAAAAATTATTTGATTGTTGGATTCAAATCCGTTACCTGTTTACCTTTGGGCAGTTTGGATCTCAATGACGCATTTTTCCTATTTATACAATATCCACATAATTTTGACGATGCTTCTGTACCTACTAAATTTCAACAAATTCCAACAAAATCAGCGAAATAGTTATTACGATAACAACTTTAGCGACAGGGGTACGACGGTGGCATTTTCTGCAAAATTCTTTAGTGTAGATATATCAAAATAAATCATATTCAGTTTGATTACGTGATAAATAAGTACACTGTCATTACTAATGCCACTGAAATTCGAGCTCTGGGCGTGATACATTCCCACAAATTAAATTGTGTAAGGTATGTAACATGTATAAAGATTCCAGGACCGTCTACTTCTATTAAACGAGTTCCGAGTTATCTAATTACAAAGCTTCTTCACTTATCATTAGTAGCACCAAAAAACAAAAACGATAACACATAATTATGAAGCTTATTCCATGAAAAGATGACTGTCAAACATTTCTCAGAATTGCTATGAGGTTCAAATGTCAATATTATTTACTGCTTTAATTTAGAATTATCAAATATAGCCTACAAATGGAATTTTCTATACTAAATTCAGGAAGTTGTCGTGCTTTTTGTGCTAACACTGCCCCGTGACAACTTCATACCTGTCAAGTTCGAGACTGACAAATTTAGTTGCTCTTTTGAGAAAACATACTTATATCGGTTTATGGATTTCTTGAACTCAAGTAAAATATAGAGATCTAATGAGGATATATCACTAAGCAAAACTGCTCACTTTTCTAATCTGAACAGCAAATAACTGTATGGTATACTGAGAACACAATCTTCTGAGCTTACAGCAAAATGGAGCGGTGGAAACCAGCTCAAAAAACAGAGATATATTTATGTCTCACTGTTTGTTTTACTTTATTATATGTTCATTCATATAGCTCGTATCATGCTTTACCATTGTTTAGCCACAACTGGTTCTGTTTATTGGGTAATAAACTGAATGAATAAATAAAATAGATATTATATTACGACTCTAGATACGTTAGTCATATCTTGTGTCGAAAAAAAAAAGTAATAAGGTTCCTCTGTACTCAAAAGCCTTGCTAGAGACTACCAATAACAATTTGATTATAGTGATGATCAAGCAAGTCATTTAGAGTTACAGTTGTTCATGTAATAAAGAGAATTAGTGGAAATTTGTTAAAGTTTCTCAAAGAAAACACGTGTACATATTATTTGAGCCACCTGTGATTCGAGGGGAATCAAAAACAAGCAAAAAATAGCCTAGTTTCCTTATTTGTATGACACGGTTGATTGGATTTTCCCGATAGGAAGACCTTTCTACGTAACACCGCGATAAAACGACAAAAGTGTTTTTCGGGACCTGATAATAGTATTCAATCACAGTCTAACTTATATTTCACGTAAATGTTGCCGATTAAGTGTAAAGCAACACTTTTATTGTTAAAATTTCTCTGTTGGCAATCAAGTGTGCTTAAATGGTGTTTTTGATGTCACTCAATGGATGGGACAACCTTGATTGCAACTTGTTGCGTACAGTGTTTTCTCACTTTTCGGCCAAAAGCTTACAAACACACAAATCTGACAAACGTACGTTAACTATATAGCGTAAAGGTACTTACCAAGGTAAAACACACCCCGAAAGCGAAACTATATATAAACTAACTTCACAAAGCGACTCCTTGTCAATTATTTAACCAATAATGAATACAAAATATACCTGCAGCTTGTTCCAGGTAAGTTCTCCCCCCAGTTTCTCGGTAGTCGGTACTCGAGTCGTATAGTTCGAAAATTGCTCGGTAGGGGCGTCATGGTCGCAACGGGTACCGTGTCTACACCACAAGCTCTCACAACGACGCCCGGAGTACCATGGTACTGCGCATGCTTTTGTGGCTACCATGAACCATGTCACAGCGGCTGTGACCATGCCGTTTCCATGAAGACATGAGCGTGGTATCGGGGGCTTTACGTTCACAAGATATGTTTGCACTTAAAGAGGCGCGTGCAGTGTACTTACGTATTTGGGTTAGGAAACATTTGATTTTTAAGCTGTTACTGAAGCAAATCGTGTAATCTCACGCATCGATTGCTGAAAGCTTATCAGCTAAGCGATAAATTACTTTTCACCATGGGCGCACATATAGTAAATTTCAATTGAACATTGAATGCTATTTAATTTGATAAGAAAATCAGGTACTGTTGCGTCTTGTAGAACTTAGGATTTCGCTGTTTTTTCACTTGAAGCTTATAGAGGTAGTCTGATAGATTATTTTAAATCATAGAAGGTGTGGATGAAGCACGATTTTCATGAATTTTTTTATCAAAAACACTGTTTTTTAGCAGTTACTTCCGCCGTTATTTCCTCCGCTATCTATCATATGACGTTGACGTCTGTGGGTAGGTATGTCATATATGAGAGGCGCTTGCTTGCGGTGTTGCCGGATTGGGCTCCGTATTTAGGGAAAAATATGAAAAGTGGGAAATTTATATACATTTATATTAATTGATGAAGCACAAAAACAAAAAACTGAAACAAACAACAGTGGTAAAACTAAAAATGATTCTTACTAAGTATGAAACGAAAAATAACAAACAGCAGTAAAATAAAAAGCAATTCTAGGTGATTATAAAAAACAAAAAATTAAAACAGTACTAAAACAAAAAACCATTCCATGTAATTATAAAAAACAAACAGTAAAATAAAAAGCAATTTGGATGGAATAAAATTGTTTTTAGTTTCACTACTGTTTTTACTTTTTGTTTTGTGTTGTCACTTACAACTGCTTTTTATTCGACTCTTTGTTATTTTTTGTTTTTTCTAATTACATGGATTTTTTTTCCTACTATTATAATTTTTTGTTATCACTTAGAATTGCTTTTTCTTTACCGTTTTTAATTTTTTGTTTTTCATAATTACATGGAATTGTTTTTTTGTTTTACTACTGTTTTTAATTTTTGTTTTTTATAATCACTCAAAATTGCTTTTTATTTTACTGCTGTTTGTTATTTTTGTTTTTTATAATTATATGTAATTATTTTTTCTTTTACTTCTGTTTTTATTTTTTATAATTATTTATAATTTATAATTTTTTAGCTTACTACTGTTTTTTTATTTATACTTATTACGAATCGCCTTTTATTTTGCTATCGTTTGTTTCAGTTTTTCGTTTTTGTGATTCATTAATTAATATATTCATATAAATTTTCCACTTTTCATATTTTTCCCTAAATGCGGAGCCCAATCCGGCAACACCGCAGGCAAGCGCCTCTCATATATGACATATGCACAGACGTCTACGTCATATGGCGGATAGATGGCGGTGGTAATAATGGTGGAAAGAACACCTAAAAATACAGTGTTTTGGGAAAAAAGTTTCATGAAAACCATGCTTCATCCACACTTTTCTTGTTTCTAAATAATCTATCAGACTACCCACTATAAGTTTCAAGTGAAAAAACA